CCCTGGAGGGACCCCAGTGTGTCTAGTTTCAGGATCCCACCTGGGCTGGGATGGAGAGCAGCACCAACGACATCTCCCACTACATTGGCATGTTGGACCCGTGGTATGAGCGCAACGTCCTTGGGCTGATGAACCTGCCCATGGACGTCCTGTGTCAGGTACGTGTGTGCCAGCTGATAGGGCTTGGCATCCCCCTTCCCCGAGGTGTGGGGGAGCTGAGCAGGGAGCTTCTGCTTAGCCCCAGGCCACCACAGTGCTGTTCAGGAGGCTGTGCTACATGGACACAGGATGGAGACGCGGGGTTCCTGGTGCTCAGGAGGAGAGTTTCTGTCCACAGTGGGGTGGGCCAGATAGTTCTTGGTGCTGGGCTGTGGGTACCACGTACCCTATATCAGGCTTGTGACTTTTTTTCTCACCACAGTCTGCCAAGCCAGAGGCTGAGCCCCAGGAGGACTCCCAGGAGCAGCTGCCCATCCTGGCAGATATGATCCTCTACTACTGCCGCTTCGCCACGCGCCCCGTCCTGCTGCAGCTCTACCAGACGGAGGTAGGCAGAGGGGCTCAGTTCCGTCTTGGCAGGAGGGGGAAAGGAGGGTCTTCTGCCTGTGCCACCAACTTGGGACCTGCTTGTGAAGCAATGTCAGGGCCACCACATGTTGATGAGGCAGAACTTGGTCTCTTCTTGGTCCCCAGGCACCCGTGGTGCTTTGGGTGATGCCCCTGGCTCAGGGACTGAGAGCATGCAAGGTCCTGCCCAGGCAATCCTGAAGTCACACAAGAAGTTTTCCTTGCAAATACCTTTCCCAGTGATTCAAAGCATCTCCCGACAGTCTTGACAGGTTATTCCCATCGCTGGAAGTCGCTCCAGTGCTCTGCTTTCCAAACCAAGCCTCTGCACACCCTGCTGTGTGCACGGGGTGGATGTAGTGGGGGAGGATGAATGTGCAGCTACAGGGACTTTGGTGCTGTGTCATGGGACTGGCTGCTGTGGGGCTGTGGTGAGCAGAGTCGCTGCTCTTGTTGGGGTTTGCATAGCCCAAAGCGATGCTCAGACCCTACCCTTTGTCTCATTGTAGGCTGGGGAATTTTCTTGAACTGAAAATTAGGTTTTGGGGTTGTTTCACTTGCAAATGGTCTGTTAAAATGGTCTGAAGTACTACAGGCAAGCATCACCCAAGGCAGTTGTTGAAAGGTGTACTGAGCAACCTGGTCTAGTGGGGAGCATCCTTGCCATGGCATGGGGATTGGAACCAAATGATTGTTAAGGTTCCTTCCGACCCAAACCATTCTATGAGTTTGAAAATATGAAAGGAGTTTCCCAAGCTGACCTGTTTCCTGTAGAAAGGAGTGATAGGGATGAACATTGCCTGGCACGGGCTGGGTCTCCTCACCACCTCGTCTTCACTCTTCTCCCCCTGGCAGCTCACCTTCATCGGGGGAGAAAAGATGACTGAAGTCTTCATCCATTCCCTTGAGCTGGGCCACTCAGCAGCCACGCGAGCCATCAAGGCGTCAGGTCTGTAGCTGCTCCTGCATCCACAGCCCCAGGGTGAAGGTTTGGGGTGGAGCTCTGCAAACGGCTGGGCTGGGGGACAAATGGAGAGGGGCTGGGAGGGAACGTGGGCTGCAAGAGACATCTGAGTCTGGGCTGTGTCATGAGCAAAGATCCAGACCTCTTTTCAGGAATTTGGAAAGGAAGCATCATAGTTCTTGGATTCCTCTTCAGGACCAAAGCCGTAAAATATATTTGCAATAAACCAGCTTCGAGCCGGTTTCCTTCCTCTCCTCAGCAGCCGGCCAAATGCAGCCCCTCTTCACCTTTTCTTTTTGCTACTTTTTGTCGTTTGTGCTTCATCCACGAGTGCCATTTATAAAATCCTGTTTTGCATTCCTGGGCAAAGCAAGATTTGTATATGTTCTTGGAGCCTTTCTGCAAGAGAGGTCCATGATCTAGGACATCATAAAATTATTATAGAGAAGAAGCAAAGGCAGAACCTGCCTGCGGTGTGATCTCCAGCTCCCTCTCGAGTACCAAGGGCAACACGCGGTCTAGTGGGATGCAGCTCGCAGAGACATCTCATGGCCAACCAGTAATACTGCATTTAAACACGCTGCTTAATTCTTTTAACCAAAGATCTCGCCTTCCCTTTCTAAAGAGAACTCGTAAAATATCCTCCATATGAGGTGTCACCACCCCACTCCCCCAGAATGCAGGCTTGGCCAAGATCTCTTCCCAAGAACTCGTGAAACCACCACCAGTCCTTCTGTCTTGGATTTATTTTTAAATTTTTTTTTAACTTAAGTGGTGTGCTGCCAGACAACCCAACATCTGCAAAAAATTATTCCGGGGGTGGTGTGGGGAAATAAAAAAAAGTTAGTATGTGTCGGGCACAGTATTTCAAGGCTAATTTAATGTGGGCAGAAATACGCCTGGAAAAACAGGAGCTGGGTTAGCGACGCAGCCTTTTGTTGCTTTGTGTTTTCCCCAGAGCACTGACCCCTCTGCACCGGCTTAGCCAGCACCGCTTTCAGCTTTGCAGAGCTGCTTGTTGTGCTTTCTGTTGAAATTTCTGCACTGGATTAATTGCTTTCTGCCAGCTTTTAAGCCACCTTTTCTTTTTTTTTGCCTTTTCGCTCTGCACGGCTGCGTTCAGCAAACCATTTCTATCCTTTTTGTTTTGTTTTGGTTTTTTCCCCGCCCCATCCTTTCTGTAGGTACTGAGACTGGCGATAAAAAGCCACCGTGTGATGTTTGCTCCTTGTTTCGTGCAGGTCCGGGCAGCAAAAGGTTGGGCATCGATGGAGACAGAGAAGCAATCCCGCTAACACTACAGATCGCCTACAGCAAGGTGAGGGCACAGGACTTGCACAGAGACGAACGGGGCAGAAAAACCACTCAGGTGCTGGGCAAACACGGCTCTTAGCCCAGGCAATTTTTGGTAAATCCAAGGTTAAATGAATTTTAATGCCTACTTGGTGCAGCTCCAGGGAAATCCAGACCCCAGCAGGCCCAGAAAGGTAGTGAGGGATGGGAGGGAGGTAACGTCAGCCTCAAGCATGGCGGCTGTGTTCGGGTCACAACAGCCCCCAGCAGCGCTACAGGCTTGGGGAGGAGTGGCTGGAGAGCTGCCCTGTGGAGAAGGACCTCAGGGTGTTGGTGAACAGTGGCTGAAGATGAGCCAGCAGCGTGCCCAGGTGGCCAAGAAGGCCAACGGCATCTGGCCTGGGTCAGAAATTGTGTGGCCAGTAGGACCAGGGCAGGGATTTTCCCCCAGGACTTGGCACTGGTGAGGCTTGTCAGCCCCTCCTGACAAGAAGGACCTTGAGATGCTGGAGTGTGTCCAGAGAAGAGCAACGGAGTTGGGGAAGGGTCTGGAGAACAAGTGAGATGAGGAGCTGCTGAGGGAGCTGGGGCTGTTCTGCCTGGAGAAGAAGAGGCTGAAGGGGGAGACCTTCTCACCCTCTGCAGCTCCCTGACAGGAGGATGTAACGAGGAGGGGTCGGTCTCTTCTCCCATGTAACAAGTGGAAGGATGGGAAGAAATGACCTCAAATTGCACCAGGGGAGGTTTACATTGAATATTAGGAAAAACTACTTCACTGAAAGGGTTGTCAAGCACTGGCACAGGCTGCCCAGGGCAGTGGTGGAGTCACCATCCCTGGAGGTATTTAAAGGGATTTAAAGGTATTTAAAGGCTGTTTAGATGTGGTGCTCAGGGACAGGGTTTAGTGGTGGACTTGATAGTGTTAGGTCAGTGGTTGGACTTGATGACCTTAAAGGTCTTACTCCAACCTAAATGATTCTGTGGTTCTCTCTCACGCATTTTGGTTGGTCCCTGCAGACAGCCATCAGTGGAAGAAGCCACTGGAATGACATCGAGAAGGTCTGCACATCCGTCAACCTTAGCAAAGCCTGCAAGAAGTATGAAGAACTAGGTGGGTAGAGGTGGTCTTTGTGGCTTTGCGTAGGAAACAATGGGAGGGACTGGTGGGGTGAGAGGGCAGAAGCAATACCTGTTCTCTCTTGCTAAAGAATTGCTCTTCTGGCAATCAGACACCCAGTTCTGAGCAGACTTCGGTGGTTTTTTTTAGTTCCTCTCTCCTTGTATGCTTTGTGTCTGGCAGATGTGTGGTTTGTGAGTGGAGCAGTCGGGGCAGGTGATCTACCAAATAGGAGACATGCCCTACATGCTCCATGGAACTCGACCTAAACCTCTGTCCCCCCTGCCCTGCAGACAACCCTGGGAAACACCGAGCAGGAATTAATTTCTCCCCACCTCTGTGCTTTGGGTTTGGTGTTTCTGCGCCAGCTCAGGAGCTTCACTTTGTGCTGCCAGCGCTGCGGGTCTGTCTCAGGGGGTGTCCTCAGCTCCACACTAGGGAGAAACTTCTTCTTGGGTGGATCTTCTTCCTTCCAAGAGAACCTCGGTCCCCTCGGTTGTGTCCGTGGGTTCTCACAGTGGCCACAGGATGTCACTGTAGTTCCAGGCATGGGAAAGCATCTCCAGGGGAACTGCAGGAAAAGCTGTGCCGGGAGAGCCAGAATTTCCTTGATAGTTAAATGTTCTTTTCTATTACGTCTGGAAATTAGAGAGGACATTTTCCTCTGTGGTTCTGATTTATTTCTGTGTGGGTTAGCAGCATGAGAGAAGGAAAGCTAGAACTGTTCCTGCATTTCCCCCAGCCATGGGTCCTGCTGAGAGCCACTGGCTCTGGGATGCTCCGAGGGGTGGAGGGACTGCTCGGACTCCCAGCAGTGGTCCAGAAGCCCCGAGTGATACCAGTTTTCTTTTTTTACAGCCTCAAAGACAGAGTGTCTCAACTTAACCATGACGGAGGTGGTCAAAAGGCAAAACTCCAAATCTAAAAAAAGCTTCAATCAGGTAACTCAAATCATGGTGCTTTTAGATCTGGGAGGAGGAGATCACCCTGACTCAACTGGGAGGGAAGCAGGGCAGGAGAGAGTAGCTCCTTTTGCTGTTGGCCACCAGCCCTGCCTTTGGGGTGTCCCTGCACAGGGAAACGCACCGAGCCTGGCAGCTCCCTCTCTCAGACTCTTTCTCTCTCAGCAGATCAGCGTGTCCCAGATAAAAGTAGACAAAGTCCAGATTATTGGTGTCCAGTCCTCCTTCGCTGTGTGCCTGGACCAGGACGAGCAGAAGATCCTGCAGAGCGTCACCAGGTAGGAACTGCATCGCTGGGGTGGTGCATCCTGTGCATGAGGACTTGCCCGGCAAGGGTGAGTTGTCACAGGTGGAACGAGGTCCTGAGCACCATGGTGGGTCTATGCTGGGCACCGAAGCTGGGTGACAGCTCCAAGCTCTGTAGCGCAGCTGAGCTCAGGTGGGATGGATGGTCCTGCTCAGATCCCAGCAGGAGTTTACCTTTGTGACTGCCAGGGTCTAAAAGTGGGTCCCCAGTCAACTGTTCAGCTCTGTAAAGACAACTCTGTCTGCAAGACCAGTCGTAAGCCAGAGGAAACTTCTGCAAGTTCTGAGTGTCAAGAGGAAGGGGACAATCTCTTCTCAGTGGTGCCCAGCAACAGAACAACGAATAATGGGTGTGAGCTAGAACATAGGAAGTTCCACCTCAACACGAGGAGGAACTTCTTCCCTGTACGGGTGCTGGCGCCCTGGCCCAGGCTGCCCAGAGAGGGTGTGGAGTCTCCTGCTCTGGAGACTTTCAAACCTACCTGGACGTGTTCCTCTGTAGCTGCCCTGGGTGACCCTGCTCTGGCAGGGGGTGGCACTGGGTGAGCTCTAGAGGTCCCTTCCAACCCCCCCATTCTGTGATTCTATGAAAGTAGAAGAGGTTCTTGAAGAGCACTGGGAATATGAGCAGACCCTTCAACTTGTGAACCTCACTTGGTTTCTCCACCACCTTTGGCATACACATTGCGGAAGGAACCCATGATCTTCATGGGAGAGACTGAGGTAGAGCAAGAATTGTTCATCTGACTGCTCATCCATCAGTTATGTCCCCAGGGCACCAAGCTGGCTCCCCAGGTGATGGAATTTGAAAACTTGCTCTAGACAGCATACTTCCAGGAGCACAAAGAGGTCACACTGGTTCATCCATAGGTCTTAAACACGTACAAGTCTTTTGATTTCTCCCTCAGAGAGAGGAGAACTCTGCAAGGTTATGCTACCTACAAATGGAAAAATGTTTTGAATTGTATTTCTTAAATAACCCCAAAGAGAAGTGTTTTACTTAGTTTTGTTGCACAGCTTGGGGGCTAGTGGGAGAGTTCAATGGATGAGATGGAAAAGGAGATACTTCTCTCTCCCTAAAACCTGGTGGAATGAAAAAGTTCTCGTTTTCCCTAGCGAATTTCAGAAATCACTCTCTATGGGTGCTCCTGCTCAAAGAGCCCAACTCTCCCCACTCAAACACTAGCCCTGTTAAAGACTGCACTGATTCCTGTTTATCACAGATAGTTTTGCTGCACTCGAGGCCTGTGGTTCACAGCCACACACTTGGCTTATATCTCAGCTCCTCTTTGTTCCCCTGCAGGTGTGAGATCTCCGTGTGCTACAAACCCAGGGACAGCGATCTCTTTGCACTGAGAAGCTCTTCTTTGCCTCCCCAGGACCCCTCTGAGTTTCATTCTCTCCTGTGTTTACCCATTGCTACCTTCAGTGGAGCACTGCCGTAGAAGAACCCAGTGTCCTCTCAGATCAGACTCCCACCCAACACCAGTACAGGCTCAAGAGGAGGCAGGTGACTGTGCTCCTCTGGGCTGGAACCGTTCTCCTCCAAGACATCCTGCAGCTGAAGCATTAGCCTGGTGGCTGAGCTGCTCGTGGTCTGGGCTTGGCACGTCCTTGGGAAACAGGAATATTGGTGGTGTGCTCTGGTATCAATCAGGGCTCCTCAGCAATGGGAGGAAAGTGCTTTCCTTGAGATCTCCACCTGGTTCACCAGGCTGCCAGCACCTGGACTGAGAGGGCGAGGCAAGGAGAGGGGGATTTTCCTGCCAGCGAGTGGTGCTGTGGCTGCAAGACCGTTGTGACCTGGGGGTAGCTCATGGGGGATGTTTTGGAAAACAAATGCCCTTGGCTGAGTGGTGGTAGGTGGCCTCCAATGTGTGCAGAGTTGCAGATGACCCAGCCGATGTCCTGATGGCATTTCACCTGGAACAGATCAGGGATGCTCAGGACAGTTCTTTGGGGCTGGGGACAAGCTTTTTCAAGGTTTCCTTTGAATTCTGAAGGCTGGGTCTCGTGGAGAGAAACAATGCAGAGCAGAGCAATCCAGCTGAGGCTCAGAAAGACCCTAGTGTGGCTTGTAGCCTCCTGCTTGTGTTCCAGTGAATTGAGTGCCACAGACCATACCAGGGCATGGACAGCTTGTCACATCTGCAAGTATTTACTGTAAATCCAGGTCCTGCAGGAGATGAGCTTCCCATTTCTGCAGAATTTCAGAGCTCACCCACGAGATGTACTCCCTCTTCAGCCCATGTTCTTCCTCCCTGCTCCCCAGCACTCTAAGCCAGAGACATCCCAGAGGCTGAATCCTCAGTAGTTGCTTGAAACGTGTCAGGAACCATACTCACACTCACAGGAGGGAGAGAAGTCCTAGGGAAACCATTAGCATTGCCTTAAGATCACCTGAAGAGGTGGCTTTGCTAGAGAAGGACCCAGCACCAGAACACTAGTGACACTTGCAAGCGACGGCAGGGTTTGAGATCCCCATCCCTCCCTCCAAGGAGACTCTCTGCCCTCTTTCTTCTCTCTGCAAGGCTGTAGGTACAGAAAGGTGCAATATTTGGGGGTATTTAGAAGTATTCTGACCCTGTGAGCAAAAAGAAAAAGAGACTGGAAAAGCCTTGCCTATTTTCATAGCCCTCGAGCTGTTTATCTGTAGTTTTTGGTGATTGCACTAATGATAAGAGGCAAAAGAGCATCCGGCCTGCTGCAGGCTGAAGGGGTCTGCCAAGGACATGTACTCTCTCAAAACATTTGGAAGGGACCCCCAATCCTACTGAGGTTCTTTAGGGCTCAGCTACAGTGGGATCAGTTTGGTGTGCGTCCCTTGATCCTCCAGAAAACAGGACCTGCTCAGCTGTTAGCACTAGTTAGAACAAGCCTGGACTCTGTCCCCAAGGGCTGGTGGCACAGCAGCAGTGTCCTTAGGGGTTAAATCTATCAGGGAAAAGGGCCAGAGCTCCTTGGGGCTTCAGTTGTCTTGGAGGAGCATGGGTGAGGTTTGTCTGCTAGATTCCTCTGCATCCCTCCTGGAAGCATTTGGGGGGTCCCTGTTGTGCCTTCGGCTCCAATCCTGGCCCCACTGGCTGCTGGACCTGCTTTCTGATCCCGATCTCTTTGGGGACAGCTTGGTCGGGGCCATGTGGTGAACACCTTGTGCTAAGAAGATGCTAAGTAGCTCTTTGGTGTGCTCAGCAGCTCTGGATGCAGCTTCTGCCAGTGCCAGAGATGAGCAAAATCAAGACGTGAACATGCTCCTGAGGGCTCTGCGCTTCATCCTTTTACTTGAATAAACCATCCCAAGGATGGTGTTGCCTTGTGGACTCCTAAGAAAAGACCCTCGTGGAGGGGGTGAAGCATCACTTGAACACAAGCAGGTACTTTGGCTCCACCACGATGCAAAGCCGGCTTGGACTCCCAGCAAGGACCCACCTTCCCCTGGGCACCCACGAGCTCCAGGAGCACCCACGGTTTCCTTCATGCATGGAGCAGTGTCCGTCCCTTGCTCATAGCATGGACTTGGCAGGGACACCGAGAGACTGTGTGGTGGGCTGTCCCCTCTCTCACAGGGTACCTGGGGGACAGATCAGCTGAGGTCACTGCTGTGCGCTTCTGCACTTCAGTATTTTAAGTCCAGTAGGCTCAATGGGTCAGAAACAGATTTTAATAATTCTCTCCATGCACTTGGAAGAAAGTTTTCCCGCTGACTTTTCATTTCCCAAACAGGTTTGTGCATGTCTTCTCAGATGAGGTTTTGCTCGGTGTGGTTGTTTTGTATTTTGTTCAATACTTAAAAATAGCACCTTATCCTGTCAAAACATTGCTATTTGTGATCTTGATATCCGTGGCTAAATATGTCCCTGACATTCTTAATGATGTAAACCTCTTTGGTTTCAGCTGGCCCTACAGAAATACTAGAGAAGAGAATTTCCATCTCGTAAAGAAAACCAAGCACAAACTCTAGGGACTCATAATCCTGACGAAGGGTTTGACCTCTGATGCTTTTTGGCAATGAAAGAAGTCCGTGGTTCTTTCGGGTCACCTTTGTACATACGTGCAGCCTCACCAAATCAGTGTAATGTCTGTGCTGTTCTGTAAAATACTGTTCAAAGAAATTTTAAAGTAGTTGTAAAATATTAAATGTTGATTTATTTCGAGTACAAAGTACTGCATTTTCAGTCGAGTAATTCCTGAGCCAGGAGATGGCTCCGTATTTCCAGGAGGAGAGCGGGGAGCACCCAGCTCCTTTGCAGAGTTGCTGACTTGAGAGCAGGAAAAGGCTCATAAAGTCATTATGTTTGTGAGCTCCGTCCCAGAGGGCACGACACGGAGACCTGCAGAGGTTAATAGAGCTGCTTCTGTTCTCAGCAAAAAGCAGGTTTCGACATTGCAAATCCAAAATTGATTTCGTGGTGGGTTAAGGGGAAAAGAAACTAGCAAAGCTTTGCACGTGCAAAGTGAGATTTTTCCATACCGTTTCCTTCTAGGAGCTTCCTTGACCTTTTGCTGTGCTGTTTTGCAGAGAAATACGAGTTACTGGGCGAGAGCTGGGCACTGGGGTTGGAGGTTTTTCACCCAGCAGCCGGGTGTTGGGGTGGTTCTGCCTTGGAACCCTCTTGTGCATCGTTGGGGCTGCAGGCTCTGCAGATGGAGCTGTTGCAACTGAAAGGACTCTGAAATAGGACATGGTGAAGTGGCTCCGGTGTCAACTTCTCTTCCTGTGGATATTTTGAGGGACGAGGCTTAGCTGGTAGGTGTGAGGGTAATCAAATAAACAATGTGGGAAAAGTCATTTTGGCTCAGAGGAGCCAAAACCCAGATTGTTAATCAGCACTTTGTTATGTATGAGCTATCAAATTTTTTTCACTCATTGGAGAATAACAAAAGGTGGTTTTTTTACATAAAAAGAAAAGAGTCTTTTGAAAAGGCAAATAAGGAAAAAACTTTATTTTCCAAGTTGGAATGATAATCTTTTGTTCTCAAAACCAAAAAAGCCCCAAACCCTAAACCACAAATCCCCCTTTCCCAGTTATTTTCTTTTTTAAAAAGAAAAGTGGAAAGAGGAACACACATGCCTAAATCTGAAACACAAAGAAAGTACTTTGTTCTAAAAATATGTGCAACGAAAAGTTTAGAATCAGGGTTCGCATCTGATCCTCGAAGTGCTGCATAGCTGAGGGTTTTGTAAGTTCTTGTAAGTACAAAGGATTTAGCAAACGGCTGCTGATAAAAACAAGCAAGGCTGGGTTAAGGTGAGCCTATTGAACAGAACTAGTTTTGCCTCTTGTAGGTATGGTCCGATCAGCTCGGAGCATTTTGGTTGGGCTAGATGATCTCTCGAGGTCCCTTTCAACCCCTAACATTCTGTGATTTTGCAACTCTTGTGGCATCAAAGCTGAGCTGGTCTGTGGTCCCACCTTCCGTGGTCTCTGTAGGTCACCATCGGGTTGCTTGTAAAGAGACGTTGCCGTGGGACATGACAAACGCTCCCGAACAATGACATTTGTGTCCTGAAGCTTGCTGGGTGAGGGGAAGAAACGTGTTTGCTGTTTGTTGTTTGGAATGATTTTTCTTCAGCTTTACTGTCACGTTGGGCAAAAAGTTTGTTCGCAAAGTTCCCATGGTCTCCTAGAGGTGAGCAGGGACAAAAATAGCCCAAGCATTTGGGTGGCCATGGGGCGCTTCTCCTGACGGTAGAGACCTGCCCAGAGGCTCACGCAGCTCAGCACCTCTGATTCCTGCCTCATCCTCAACTGGTTATTTGCCCAAATTGCTGGGGAGAACCTTCCTCTTGTATTTCTGTCTCCTGGAAGACAGAGGTGTAGTTTTGTGGGTGCAATCTCTAGGTGCCCTGCAGCAAGAGACCAGCAGATGCGGGACAACACGGGGCGTGGAAGCGCACAAGAACCTTGGAATTGAGGTTATGGGACCTGAATTAGGCTGGAAATCTCTTACAAGGAGGTATTTTGAAGGTGCTCATCTGCTTTCTCAGCTGTAGCAAGAAATAGCAGAATCAGGCTTCCCAGCAGCTCCCAGCCCCTAAGCCAGGACAGGCAGAGGGGGTGTAGGTCAGTGGTTGCAAAACACAGCTCAAGGAGGCTGGGATATCTCTGTGTTTCTCGTTCTCTGTCAGAATATGTTTACAAATAGTTTAAGGGAGTGAGTTACGTTTTCTGAGCGCTCCCGGTATGACTGGTGTGTCTAAATGTGGAAGCTGTGGGACTCAGGTTTGCGTGAAGCGAGTCGTCTATTAGTCATTTTAAAGCCTTTGAACACCCCTTGGGCGTACAACCACGCCAGGAAATGCACGCAGCTGTATTTATCCATCTACCTGCTTATCTCTGTGTATCTGTCAATGAATCACTTGTATAACACACGTATTCAGTGTGTATGTGCATAACTGGTGCTGTATTACAAATGCCACGCTGTGCATTTCTTACCATAGAAA